CCCACCCAGCTCCATCCTAGCCCCCAGCAGTCGCTACTCGGTTCTTCAGTTCCGTCATTTTGAAAGACACGGTTTTTATCAGGCCACTCTTGGTGAAGTTCACCCACTAGTGTCCGAAGCCCTCTGCCATCGGACCAGACATGAAGCTAAAGGCCCGCGCCCACGCTCTGCAGTCAGCACTGTGCTCTGGCCGCTAGTAGCGCCGGCTCCACTGGCGGAATTCCACCCACAGGCATTACTGGCCAAGTGACCTAAATAAGACAAGTTACCTAAGCTTCACAGGCTCAGTGGGTGAGGCATCAGCTGAGTTAATAGATCCAAGTACTGGGGACAGTGCTTCTCAATGTTAATGTCACATGCAGCACCTGGGTCCGGCGATGGGCCCGAGAGCCCACATTCCTCACAAGCTCCCACGTAATGCTGATGCCGCTGGTCCTCAGACCACACTCGTGGCAGAGACTCAGAGGAGAGCCTGGTGCAGAGTCAGCGCTTGAGAGTTGCTGCTTGTTCCTCTGCTGTGAGTCTGGAGCCGTGTCGGCTGGAGCCTGGAGCAGTGAGCCAGAGCTTCAGGGTTTGGAGCCCAGGGTGCCCCTCGCTCTGCCAGTCCCATGCCAGCCTGGGCCCGGGAATGGGGCCGATGGTCCGCCCTCGCAGAAACGGGTTCTGTGGGTGTGGGTGTGCCGCGGGCCCACCCCCCACCCCTGGGCGGCTGCCTGTAGGAGGAGGCAGCCTGGGAGTCCCGTTTGCAGAAACGCAGCTCCCGCCGCCTGCTCCCCTCCTCACATGGGCACGCGGGTGGGGGGAGGGAAGCAGGGCCTCTGGTGCCTAGGTGGCTGCGAGCAGCGCCAAGCTGCCGAGGGTTGACTTGCCCTTAATACATCAGGGACAAAATGGGAGTGAGCTGTGTCCCGGGAGCAGCCCTGAACGTCCCGGGGGTCTCTGTGCTGCGGTCACAGTTCGGAGCCCGCAGCCTTGGGGAAGGGGAGCAGGCGGGGATGTTTCTGCCCACGGCAAGCTGAAATGCCACCTTCCGGCATTCAGTCCCACGTGTGATGCAGCCTGGTTGCAAAAATGCAAACAGCACATGAGTACATGAAGTCGCAAGTGTCACCCCCCTTTCCTTCCCTTTCCCCATGGTCCTCTCAGCTAAAATGATTCCTGTGCGTCTTCCCAGCACTATTTCTGCGGCGCAGTGACGAGTCCTGTGCACATCGCCTCATGAGTTCACCTTGCGCTTCCCGCTTCACAATGAGTCCCGACCCTTCTCTCCCTTTCAACAGCTGTGCAGCGCATTGCGGACATACCCCAGGACCAGTAAGTCGTGCTCTCCCCTGATGAACATTTAATTTACCTCTACATTTTTAACTTTACAGGTTGCAATGAACATTCTCTAGGACAGGTGCCTGCAAGTGGACTTGCTAGAGCGAAGGGTAAGTGCGTTTATAGTTCTGATAGGTGCTGACCCCTCAAAAGATCATATCTTCTATTTACCTTCCACTTAGAGTGTGTGCGTGTCCACTCGACACATCCCTGCTACTGCAGGGTATTATGAAGCTTTTCATTTTTGTCAGTCTGCTGAGGGGGAAGACAATGCCTTGTGCTTGCTTCAAGTTGCATTTCTCTAATCACTGGAGCAGCTGAGCATCCCTTCCAATGTTCATTTGCCACCTGCAGCTCATGAAGTCAGGTTTCTAGCAGCCCCCTGGCCGCCAGCTCAGCTTGGCCCTGAGGACGCACCACAGAGGACCTCGCTGGAGGAGGTAAGTCGTGTTTATTTGTTTACGTAAAGACTGAGCTGCAGAAGCGGTCGCTGCAGTCCCCAGAGGGCCTGCAGCTCGTGTTGGAAGGAGAAAGAAAGCTTCCTGTGATACCAGACTCTTTCTGTTCTGGGAACTGTTCATTGTCATTCTGTGTCTGCGACCGTGCAGCTCCGGCCAGCCCACCGCTGTCCCACAAGAGGGCCATTCATGGACCCGCATAGTCCCGAGGCAGAGTGACGTGGCCAATGGGAAGAGCCTGGGACTGGGCCAGGAGACCCAAGTTCAGGTCCCAGCTCTCTCTGTGAGGGGCACGAGTGGCACTCCCCTGGCTCTCCTCTTTACCGTCTTCGCGCCCTGTCCTGAGGCCTCACTGAACCCTTGGCCTCTGTGGCACTGTTTTCGCCAGCCCCTGTGACCACTCTTTTACTCTGTCCTTGAAGGGTCCTCGTCTGGGTGTCCTCTCTGTCCTTCTCTGCACGTCCAGTTCCCCAACAGCACCCACAGTGCCAGCTGGTTCCCAGGCAAGAGCTCTCTCCTGGGCCTCGGCTCACACCCCCTGCCTGTGCAGCAATGTCGCCTGGTGCTCTGTTCCCAGGAACGCTCACTATGTCCACACCTGGACGCGTTTCCCCCTAAAGCTTCTCCTGTGTGCCATGTCTTAGTGAATGGTGTTGACTAGTCACTCGAGCCAAAGACCTCAAGAGTCAGCCGTGGGGTCCTCTATCTCCGTTGCTAGAAACTTTTCCATGACTCCGCCTTGCCCACTGAATGAAATCTGGGCTCTTTGGATTTTTTTCCTAATTCAACTTCTTCTTTTCCTCCACTGGTTTCCCTGCATCTGTCCTACATTCAAGTCAAACTGAGCTACTTACAATTACTCAAATAATTATGCACTGTCTGGTCTCTGCACCTTGGCACTATGACATTTTGAGTCAGAAAATTCTTTGTTGTTGGGCCTCTCCTGTAGGATATGTAGCAGCATCCCTGGCCTCTACCCAGTAGCATCACCTCCCCAGTCATGACAATTAAAAATGTCTCCAGGCATTGTCTCAAGTTCCCCTGGAAGACAAAATTGCCTCCTGTTGAGAACCACTGATCTAGATTCACATTGTATCATCTGCGTGGAAAGCCCTCTCCCACATCTCCCCACCCCTAATTTGTAATTTAGTGACAAATTCAAAAGAGCAAATTATAGAAAAGTATACAGTATGATTGTTGTGTGTGCCAGTCGGTGAGGACTGGAATAGACTATGCAAAGACCAATGTAGTTATATAAGTTGTGTTTCCTTGGGCTACTCTTGTGGGTGGTTAAAAACTTGGCTACTTTTTATAGAATCAACCTGCACTTGGCTGTCTCTCGCCTCCACCTGCTACTATAAGATGCTGACCCAGAAATTCCTGGGAGCACTTGGTCTCCGTGGCTTCACAGAAGAATCCCACGATAGGCGTTGCCTCTCCCAAGGAACCTCCCACAGCCTCCGACAGCCGTCAGGCTGTGTGAGGCCTGCCCACTGAATATGGGGCACTGCCCAGCGCCGAGGCTCTCCACCAGGAACGCCGATCCCTGGGGTTCCCAAGCGGCCCTTCGTCTGCGGGAACCCTCACGGTGCCGCTGCATCTTTGCGTTCTCTGTGGGAGTACGGATGTGTGACTTTACCGAACCTGCTCTGTGCTGCTTAGAGGGGTGTCCGTGGCAGGCTTGGGCTGGGACCCAATCCTGCCCCCAAGGGGCAGATGCTGCGGCAGACTCATCATTCTGACACCTCAGCCTTGCTGCTGATGCGGGTGCCCTGCCTGATGCTCCTGGCGCCTGTTCCCCCAGCTCTCCGGACTCGTCTGAGTGCCAGTGATGAGCATGGACCAGTCTGCAGGGGATACTCTCCTGCAATCAGAACTGGGATTATGACTTTTTTTTTAATCAAATTTTCTTAAACACTCTTATTGTTATTTTTTTAAACATCTGATCCATCTTCAAGTTCTGCCTCTAAGACGTCTGAGCTTCCTTCCATTAGGCTCCCAATAGGATGGGATGTGAGCTCTCACTCTCCTTCAGGTTCCCACAGCTTGACCCTAAGGATGCTTCTCTGTAGTGGGTCATTTGGGTACTTTTCTCTCCAGCTCGAAGGCGCATACCCCTTGAAGACTCAGTGCCTTAAGCCCACCGTGGGCGCCAGCACTGGTTGGTGAGGCTCCAGCTCTGTGGACTCCATGGGTGCCTAATGTTCATCATGTGCTATGAACTGGGCACAGAGGCTAACTGTAGCTGACACAAGGTCCTTCCTTGAGACATTCAGGACATAGAGATCTTGGACCCTCTCTGCCACGATTTCATTGAGACCTCAGCCAGTTCTCATAACTCCTCCATCTCAGTGTCCCACCCACAACAGGGGGAACAGCCCCTATCCCGGGCCCTGGCAAGACTCTGTATTTAAGTGCACCGAACCACTGAGAAGGAAACTTCTCCATTTATTCAGGGCTATTTTCAGTAACCTGTGCATTTTAGACCAGGAAATAGTGGTGTGGTTTTTCAGTAAAATACCCCAGTGGTCGCCTGTCTTCAGATGTCTTTCACATCAAGAGCTCATGTTCAGGAAGGACTCAGCAGGTTGGAAGTGAGGATTGAAATCCAACTCCAGTCACTCCTGGCCTAGGGCCCCCTGCTCCTCAGATGTTTTTCTGCAGCTCTAGAGAACTGCTGGGAGCAGGGACCAACCTACAGCCGTGACCGAAAACCGGGGCCCTTACTCGGGGACACGGGGGCCCTGGGGAGGTTCAGGAAGAGAGTCGACTTCAGGAGCCCTGCTGAGAGTTGTGAGGATCTGGGGATTGTAGGTGCTGCTTATTAGGGAAAGGAAAGTGGTTTCCCTGCCCCCCTTGCTGATTTTGGAGGAGCAAAGGTGGAGAGGGCGGTGGCCACAGTGAAGGAAAAAAGGAGTTTGGATGGAAGGTGTAGCTATAACTATGCCTTCTCATCCAGAATTTCAGGAATAAGGTTTGTCATAAGTGGATTTCCCAGAAAATATAATATCAGCCCTGTGAGCAGATTCTGAAAAAGTATAATGGTTTGGGAAGGGAATCTCTCTAACGTGTGTTGCGCCTTGTCTGGCTCCTTAAAATCGGTATGTGGAACAGCATTTTCTCTTCTGGATTTCAGCAAGTGGCCTGTCACTTGCACCCTGAGCTTTGGCCAGTCTCGTGGGCTCTGAAACACGCCCCAGGCTTTCCCATCTGTGAGCCCTGGCGCCCTTGTCTCTACGTGTCCGTGTCCGTGTCCTGTGCGTGCATCCCCACCTCTTGGTTGTAAAAGCGCTGTGCGTGGCGTCCAGCTCACAGGAGCGCCGAGTGAACCTCTTTGAATGAGTGACTTAGGGCCATAAAACCCCTGCCATTAGGAAGTTCTGTCCAGTTGGCAAAGCACTTTCAATGTCTTTTTGGAAACAGTATGTCCTCAGGAGCGTCCGTGAGTGGAAAGTCCTGTTCATTCATGACTCACTCCACAAACATTTCACTGCCTCCTCCTTTGTCCCAACACAATGCCGGCATCAGAGGCATAAAGATGAATCAGACCCGGTTCCTTCCCCAAGGAATAAAGGTTAATAAAAAGAAAGTGGGCACAATTCACTCTGGCGAATACTCTGCTGGGGTGTGGCCCCCGTGCCTCGGAGCACAGGGAAGGGGTGGCTCTCCCACGCCTCACGGCCCAAGACAAAGGAACTTTTAACATTCTCTCTGTGTCCACCGTCCTTCTTTTTCCTCATGGTCACTTCTGGATGGTACACCTGGTACACATGCCTGCCTCCTTACGGCAGTGGGTTGCAACCCCCCCCGGCTGCACACTGCAGGCACCCAGGAATCCGCTGCATCCCCGCTGTGTCCCTGCTCGGACTCTGATCTAAGCAGCCAGCGTGCTGGTGCTGATCTGCAGCCAGGGTCTGGAACGGGCCACCCTGAACCTACAGATTCTGACAAGGCCTGGGGCCGGCCCTCGTCTCGCCCGTAGGCTTAAGTGCGTGGGCTTTGTGACAGCTTTTTCCTGCGCACGGAATCCATTTTTAAATCTCTGGGGTGTGAAGACACAGTCCTGGCTCCTCTGCAGTTACAACAGTCAGTGGAAGGATCCAAAGGTGAAGCAACTCAGCCCCAAGAACGGCCCACCCACACTCCAAGATGTCTTAACACCTCCTAAGCAGTCACAGTGGTGGTTGAGGTTATTGCTAATCAGGCGTTTAAAAGCTCAGCTAATTAATGTTGGCGCAAAGGAGTCAGGAATTTTATCATAATGGCTAAATCATCAAAACTCAGAAGTTTATAGACTGAGAAGCTCCAAGCAATTAAATGCAACAGGTCTGTTGTGAGCATCACCTGTGTGAAGAGAGAGTCAGAGAGTCTATGGTCTGAAAACTGAATATGAGCTGTTTAGACACCCAGAAAAGTTAAATATAAACTGACATTGTAAAATATATCTAGGAGAGCGAAGTTACCAAAGTAGTGACAATCTGTTACCTTCTAATTTCTATAAGGTCTTCTCTCAAAAAAACCAGCCTGGTCAGGCTCCGGCTCCATCCCCCTGCCAGTGATGTGAATCCATCTAGCAGCCACCTGATGCCCTGTGACACGCTCATGCCAGATCATTTCAGCCAATTGGCAGATGTTTATTGAGCACCTACTAGGGGCCTGGCATAGAGAGACTCGGCCACAGATAAACACAGATGTTGTCCTTGAGGCACCCTATCATATGGAGAGTGAAATCATAACCCAGGAGATAACTCCCAGCTGCCTCCACCAGCCCATAAGCTCACTCCGAGCAGCAAACGGGCTGAAGATCAATGAGGCAGGAAGTGCTTAGGGCTCCGTTTCCTGAGCCTGAGCGCAGGGTAATTCACCTTCCTCGCCTTCATCCAGGAACAGGTAATGAAAAAATTTAAAAAAGCGATTAATGCAACAGGTCTGTTGTGAGCATCACCTGTGTGAGGAGAGAGTCAGAGATGAAATACTCCAGG